TATCAATGTCACAAATGCGGCCGGTAAAGTGACAGGTGCGGCCAGTAAAGTGACAAGCAGTAGGAAACGTAGTCTGCTCTGCTTCTATCATGGAAACTTTCAGGACGATTTTAGGTATACAACCTTTTGTAGGATTTAAATCGGATTTGGATTTTAATCCTACTGACCAATTACGTATATATCGCATACTCGTATCGTATTATAGGCAGACTTACTTAAAATACGTGCACTAACTGTCTCTATTTTTCTACACACTTTACTTACAATGCCAGGAACTTTCTTATGTCTGTTTCGAAATTTCCACTTGCATCTGGAAATGTTTGTTTCTATGTGTCTGAAAATATGAATAAATATGAATGATTTATATTACCTATACTTTCCATGATAAAATGTTCACTAAATTGCAAACTTACGATAATAGTTATTTATCTGAAAATCTTGAAATCAATGTCTAAAGGTTTACAGTTCTTTTTTCGAAATGTGTAGTTACTAATTGGCAGTTTAATAAAAGTAAATGTTAGGTTTTCAAATTTGTTAAGGTCAATGTCCTTCCCAAATATTGAGTAATTTGACAAAAGCGTTAAAGACCCCCAATTGATTCTAAAAACCCTTAATTAATTAATTCCAAGCACACGCCACGCAATAATTGACTTTCTAGAACGATAAGCGATCCACATTAGATACGAATCTTGTGCCCGAATTCACAAGCGATGATTAAAGTTAATCAATAATTAAAAATATTAGAATGGTAAACACCTCAAACCTAATTATAGAAGGTGACTAACATTCTATACTTGATTAGCGTTAATCATCGTTTGTGAAACCGGACATTAAAGATAAACATAATTTTATTTTTGCCTTTATTTTTGAGTGAGCGGGGTTTCAGTTACGGCTCCTCTAGCAACCCAACTCACTATACATTTACAAATATCCATGCCCGAACCCGGATTCGAACCAGGGATTCTCAGTACCGCAGTCCAGCTTCAATTCAACTACGCCACACAGATTTCTAGAATGTGTCTTCAGGATTGGTACTTCAAAATTCAAGCGCCTACCAAGCTTCAGGCTTTAATTTAATTATCAAGTTTCAAGTTTACAATTTCAGGACTATAGTATTACAATTCAACATACAAGATTGTTGCCGCCCTGGTCTAAATCTTATATTTCGAACCTTTGAAGACTAAAGCATAATCGTCATCTTGAACCTTGAATCACAAAAGTTCGTCGGTTTCATCTTTACACACCAATTCCTTCCCTCGGGTGTTGTAATAAATTGAGTGTTACATTTCACTTATGCTTCAAACATATTTGTACTCCTGGGCGACACTAATATAGAATATTAACAGGTACTTTGACAGAGTTAAAAATAAATTATAAAACCGCGATTAAGTACATTATCAGCTAACTGATAGCATGCTAAACAAATAGAGCAATTTTCGGCGCTGACGTAAATGAAATTTAGTATGCATGTAACCATGTAGGCTTGTGGAAGAAGTTTCTAATAAAGTAAACTGATACAGCTACTAAGACAGCCGGTCACGCTCAGGCGGGGCTTTATTGGGGGATGTTCTTGCTTGTATTCTCGGTCTTGTTTTCGATATTTGTTACGTTAAAGTTTGAAACAGAATAAACTCACGAATAAACACCGAAGGTCTGTTAAATTCGAGGTTAAATTTATTTTGGAGCTGGCTTTTTATATTTATTTGTTACCTCTGGATTCGACAGTGTTTTGAATGGATACGAACGGAACGCGAGAATTGACATATAATAACAAAATTAGAGATATTCAAGAGGAAAACCATGTTACCGCAACCCCAACTCAATTAGTTGTTTAAATATAACGCCCAAATCGATCTACTTATTACGTTAGGTATGAGTTTAACAATTTAATCCAATATATGAGGCTAATAAATCCATTATCGGATAAATTATACGTTTATGAACAACACCAAGTGTTAGAAAAACACAGAGGTGTTAATTGAACTCAAGGAGTTTACTTTATTAATGTCTATTTATACTTAACGAATTGTAACTATTACGTTAGTAATTATACTTATAATTGAATCTTGCCGTGGGTAAATACTCTCATAGACTGTAAAGTGGATGAGATATGGCCTTTAATCTGATGTTTTCTTTATTAACGGTGCGCTACCACAGACATTTCTAGGAATGTACAGATTCATCTAGGAATCCGCTGAGTTGCCAGATTTTCTGTGAATTTACAGATTTATCTGTTATCCGTGTGTAATTTAACAATATTATTTGCATTATAAAAGTTACATGGAAAACAATGTGCCTATTCTAGACGGGAATTGATGTAAGAGATTTTTAATATTGAGAAAGATATAAAACAATATACTAAGAATCGCATACGATTTTCACTAGGGGAATTTTTTGCCACTCAGATCGTATTCAGAAACCAGACTTCAAATACGGCTCATATAGCACGAATCCTTGAACTCGTAGAAATTGATTGGCGAAGGTTTGACATCGTTCTTTGTAGATGCCCATGAAAAGGTATGGCAGCAGAAATATGGGGGGGGGGGGGGGGGAAGCAATACCAATTGAAAAAGAACCTCCTAATCGAGCCATATCGAAGGGTGTGCTATGTGCCCCTCAAGCAAAGACAGAAAAACAGCCATAGGATGAGATTCTTGCAAACTATCAATTTGCAATCAATGTTAGTTGCTACTACGTGAGGAATAATAGAAAGTCAATCCTACTTATAGTAAATTAGGTTAACCATGTACCATGTACATAAACCAAGGGTATTCTAAATAAAGGGTGTCCAAATAAGAGAACCGGATTTTTTTCTCAAAATACGATTTTTTTTCAGATAGTGAGGACTTTTTATTGCTTCGGTGACACTCTCTCTTACAGTAAAAACAAGCGATGATTTCATAATCTAATCAAATCAAATCATTTATTGTCAGAGTACCAAATGTGGCTTTGACATGTCAATAATGCACAATGTAAATAACGTAAATATAAAACAGCAACATTCGAGATATAACTACACATTTTCAATAAATATAAATATGGACGTACACTACACATTAAAATTTTGATTTACATAAAATAATAATAATAATTTAGCTTACGCTTACACTTATCATATATGTGACACAAGGGTGTAATATAAAAACAAAGGACATATGATGGGACGAACATACAAAACTGATACGCATCAAGGCACGAGTTACCATTTAGTGGAATAAATAAAGAGTATATAAAATAAAATCGAAAAATAAAATAAATTAACAGGTTTCATATAAGACTAGATCGATTATCACAGTTGAATTCTTCAATAGCGTAATATGCTTTTTTTAATAGTATTTCTTTTAATTTCTTTTTTAGTTGTAG